AGACAAACATATCTGAAGAAACAATTTTTGAAATTTACCAAGTTTGTTGAAAAACAGCAAACTGCAGATAGTAAATTCAGTAAAATCCAAGCATCTCCAATGGAAAGTAAATCACATTTAGGTACATCATGGTCGGAATCCCAAAAATTAAAAATGAAGATGTTATATTAAAAGCAGGGAGGAAAAAAAACATTACATACAGAGAAACAAAAATACAACTGAAGACTGATGTTTTCTCAGAAACAAAGGAAGTCACAGGATCAAGGAAAGTCATCTTTGATATGCTAGAAGAAAATAACAATTGTTAACCCATAATTCTACAGCCAATGAATGTCATCAGAAAAAACGAGAATGAAATAAGGTTATTTCAGATAAATGAAAGTTGAGATTACTCATCTCCAGCATAATTGTACTAAAAAAATTCTAATGGAAGTTTTTGAGGCTCATAGTAAAAGATGCCAGGTGGAAACTTGAATCTACAGAGAGTATTTTTTTTTTTAAGATTTTTGCCATAGGGCACATGTACTCACCAGAGAGAAGAGAGACAGAGCAAGACAGAGGGAGAGAAAGTGAGAAATCACCCCCAGGGGGATGGCCACACTGCAGTCCCTTCTCCTCGATTCTCCTTCCAAAGTTTGGGCACACATGCACACACGCCCAACATAATTTTTAAGACTTCAGGTCTAGGACTCAAACAACCATTGGCATGTGGGGTCCAGTGCCTTAACCACTAGGACACTTGCTGGACCCAGAAAGCACTATTAATGATAAATATGTGAGTAGACACAAATGATTTGCTTTTTGTTGTCTTCATTTATTTAGAAGACTGTGAATGCTTAAAGAAAAAGCCTTGGGAGTTTACCCACACGCAAGAGTAATGTAAATGACAGCACACCAAGGATGGAGAGAAAATGCAAGTTTTCTCTTGCAAGCTTCTTGCATTTTACACGAAGTCGTATTCTACTAACACTAAGTAAATTGTGGCAAATTAATTTTTTATTTTATTAAATTAATATTTTATTTATAGCTTTGTGACAACATATCAGGAAAGTCGAAGTTCAATTCCAACCAACAAGCCCAGGCTGGGCATCCACTCCATGCCAGACCCAGCCAGGCCCTGAAGGAACAAAGATGGATGAGGCAGGGCTTGGGCTAATGATCTGTTCTGCATTCAAAGCAGTCCACAGCCGTCACCTGAGTGGACACGTGGTCCTCCCTCCTGTCGCAATTCTGGAACGCAACTCCTTTGTCCCTGAGAGCCTTGTCATCTGCATCCAATCAACTAGAGAGAAAATGTGGGGAAAGACAGGGTGCAGCATTAAAACACAGCACTATGTGAGGCAACCCCACGTGGGGAAGTTCCCAGGTCACATCTGGAGACCTCCCCAAGTACTCTGGACACAGCAGGCATCTGGCCTAGGGCTGGCCAGGGGCGAGGAAAGACAGAAG